ACATCTACACATTAACTATTAATTTGAGCAATTATTTGCTCGAATTCAAACAATGATAACATCAACAAACATAAACGATCTAAATCATATATTCAATTGACTATATAATACTCCGTATTTGATGTAATTATTTAAATAATTGTATATCGATCAAAATATTCTTAATATATTATAACAAATCCATTTTGTGCACCGCAGGAGTGAAAATATTAATTTTAGAGAAAAAAAAATATTGATCATTTTCTTTCGGTTGGGAGGATTGAATCCACAATTAAGGATTCTAACATCTTACAAACTCTATTAGATTGGTTTGATTAGCTCAATGACATTTTTGTAGCTCTCTCAAATGTGCGGTCACAATTTCGAATCTTACTGGGGCATTGATTATATGGATAGATACTACATTATAATAGAGTCAAGTAGTACTCAAAAAAAAAAGAAAAACTTGTAAATAGGTGATAGAATTAATTCTATTCATTGAAAACAATATATATACATAAAAAGAGGAAGAAAATATGATATTATACTTAATTGTGTAGTAAAGGTGTTTTTATATGAGAAATTTCACAATCACTATTCAAATGGACACTTCGGGTGAAGGCCACCTTATTACTCGCTAAAGATCACAAGGAGGTAAACCAACCTAGGTTATTCATAATTGACCGGTTCAAACCGAAAAAGTCAATAAATTACTCGCATTATAAGTCAAACTTAGAATCATATGATTATTAAGCCAACAACACAACCATCTCGACCAAGGTTGCCTCCAAAACCAACTTCTAACTATGCACATTGGCACACCCGAAGCTTCTAATTAGATGAGTTCTAATGTTCTATCATATATAATCTGTGAAGGTTTTTTCAGCACTTGTCCAACATTTGCCCACGACTTGTCAGGTAATCTACACATTTATTCCCTTACTGCGAGATCCTAAGAGATCATTAATATGTGATTTAATAGCTACTTACAATACAGTAGGAGAGTAGAAGAGAAGTTCCTTGTTCTGCTCCCTTATCGTTACGGTCTTCATTATTGCTTCCGAGTCAAATTTCACTTCAATATTGATAAGTCTTTTGCAACTCACCAACCCAAAACCCTTCCTAAACTTTCACATACAGCTCAGACATGAAACTATCGGTTTGTCTAATCTTGACAATGGGCCCATATTTAATAAAACTATATACTACATAGTAAAATATTTCATGAAAAGAGGAGGGTATTTAACACGATGCATTAGAAAATTTGGATAGTACACTTGCGCTGCATTCTATATTTTGTATACTTTTTGTACCCATTTTATGTATTGTGTATTTGTGTCAACTGTCAGAGAGGGAGCACTGGGCTTTTTAATGCTTAGCTGGAATTAGCGGATCACAGCTGGTGGGCGGGTCGGGTACACCGCGAAAGGGTCGCTGCTACGTCGCCGTTTCTCCTCATATTTTTTTTTGTGCGATCCACCACTTCTCGCCACTGTGAAATGTCTGTTATCTCACATTCTTTTAACATTATGACTCATGGGTCCCTCCTCGTTTTCTTATGGGATTCATTCATTCATTAATCAAACTATGTTGTTTCCTAGTTAAGAATGGGGGGACCCCGTTCGCCAGAGGCGTAGAACCACGAGTTTACGAAAATGCCCTTCATTTTATGAGGAAGTAAATCTTGAGTTTGAGGTTTTTTTTTTTTTTTTTTTTTTTCAAATAAATATTTTTGTTATTGTTGATGTTTTCTTACTTCAATTCTTGCCCACAAAAGGCGAAATCTCTCGCTTCAACAAGATTGTGGAGTAGTAAATCATGGTAACTCAGCTCCCATTAAGTGAGAGCCTGGACCCTTGACACCCACAATGAGCCACTCTCACACGATGGTGAAATTCTCACATTGTAACTGTCAGAGCTCGATTTTGTGACATTGCTCACGATTTTTAGTCAATAATTAACTGAGCTACTCGTGTAACCTTTTCGCTTTAATTCTTAAATTGATGAATAAAATGAGACTAAAATAACACCAAATCATGGTTGTGTAGCGAAATTAGAATATATAATCATAATGTCAAAGAGATTCGTTAAACATATAAAGAGTCATCACACAACTTGTTAAACAACACATGCAATATATTTGTTCATCAGTACAATGTCTTGTATTCCAAAAAATAAAATAAAATAAAATAAATCAGTACAATGTCTTGCTGTCAAAGATGTGGTTTGCAAATAAAACAAGCACGACAATTATTTCTCTTTATATGATTAGTCATTTCACCTGGCTACAAGATGTGGAAAACAGTCAAAGTTGCATAATTGAAATGTTTTTTTTTTAAAGGAAAAGAACAAATAACCAGATGAGAAATAACTTTAAAAAAAAAATCATAATGAGAAAATTTAATGAAAATGTTATCTGTACCGGTCACCAACATTTATATTTATTCATTATATTGTAAATTGATAAATATGTAATAATTTAATCTGGTTAACCTACACTAATACTGTAATAATCATTATATCATGAACTACGGTCTACATTATGTATTAAGGACAATTGTCTAAAACGATAGTGTTTTATTAAAATTAACACAACTTTTTTTTCTTTTCCTCCAATTTCTTCACGTAATCAAAAACATGTCACTGCTACAGTACATATTTGTTAAATACATCTACATAATCTGTCAACAAAAAAAAAAAAAAACAACAATAAATTGATCAATACATTTAAGTCCATACTAAAAACTTACTAATTTTCAACAAAATATCTCTTAAAACTATATCATAATCATGATGATTACATGCCAAACTCTCAATTTATAAATATTTAATTTTAAGTTTACTTACTTAATTATGAACTTATAACAATGTTAGAACAGGTACATAAATTGTTAATTGCATATACATTACATATTAACTACAAGTTCATAAAATCAATATAGATTAAGTCCATTTCTAATTTTCAACCAAATATATCCTAAATCGGCGCTTAGGCGCTGGCGGGGCGCCTAGCGTATCACCATAATCGGTAGTCTAGGCGGCTGGCTGGCAAGGCGGCCGCCTAGGTACCAACTATGCCGTCTAGGCACCTTGCCGTCTCACATCGTTTTGAGCGAAATGACTCTATTACAGTGTAGTATCTGTGAAACACAAAGAGCCAATAACACCTCCACTGAGTCCAACCCGGGTGCCATCTGAGCACAAGGTGCTTGACTGTTTTTTAGGTTAATATTTAATATTTTAGACTTTTAGTATTAATTATTAAAATATTAAATAGTTTATAATTATCAAGTCTTAAAAAATTTAAAATATTTAAACATATTTTTAAAAAATATATACACGGGCACCTAGCAACTTTTTTCAACCAGATTAAAACTATATCATAATAATGATTATATGTCAAACACTCGATTTATGAATCTTTAGCTTTAAGCTTATTTACCTACAATTCACGTTTTATGAACTTAGCGAATGTTAAAATTACTTAACATGATACATTTATAGTTAACAAATTATGTATTTACATTCAATAAACTATGTGCCTATTACAAATGTGACTGTGGACCAAACAAGAGGGAAAAAAAAAAGCCCCGCTAATTTAAACAAAATGACATTGTTTTTGACTAAGGTCTTAAAGCGAATATCTTGAGGTATAATTTGAATGGGGTCCATTTTTGATTTTTGTTAGGTCAAAGTGGATGGGGCTATCATAAATTAGAGGTTTAATTTGGTATATTATATGTTCAAAATGAATAATAGTGATGAGTGGAAAATTAGTTATCAAAGTGTACATATTGAATTGAGAAAAAAAAAAAAAGTTTTTGGAGAACTTTTTACTAGCCTTTGTTAATATCGAAAATGGATATGAATTTGTACTAGTATAAATATACTTAAACTAAGACTTCTTTGTGAAGGGGTAAATCTACTTAACCTAACCACACGAGGTCAAGAGCTAAACTTCTGCATCCATAAGTCAATAATCTATTAATCTAAGACTTTAAGAAAGTATGTATGGACAAATATTGCATTGTACTCCCTTCGTCCCATTTTGTTAGTCTGATTCGATTAACAAGGCTTTATTAAAATTATTTTTAATTCAAATTTTTATAATATTAAGTTTAGTACTAGTATACAAAATTTATATATTTAGAAAATACATTAGAAGTATTATTAAATACAAAAAGTTAAATTTAAAAATTTTTAAAAAATAAACAATAAAGAAAGAGTTCGCTTATACAAAAAAATTAAATTAAAAAATAATTAAAAATTAAAAATTATTTTAAAAAGCAATAAAAAAATTGAGTTGACCAATAAATAGTAAATATGACAGGTAAAATGAGACAAAGAGAGTAATAAAGTTAGTACTAAAAAAAATTTATAACACTTTCAAACTTCAATTTTATGATTAAACAAGATGCATCTTTAATTATTGGGGACTAAATTTAATTAATTTTCAATAAATTACCAAAAATAAATACCCTCAAATTATATCAATTAATAAATTAAAATTATAATCAACTCATACAAAAAGAAATCAATATTACAAAAAAAAAAAATCTAAAAAATATTGACATATCACTCCAAAAATAGTTGATAATAGTAAATTTAACCGGCAGTCATAGAGAGATCAAAACTATACAACAAACACTAAATTGTCATATTCATATTTGATATTTCTACTCCTAAGAAACGGTCATTATCGGAACAAGTCAATTTAAATCAGCTACACACCTTTCAATTTATGGAAATGAAATGTTGGAGTTAGCCTAGCCACCTTGGTCCTTGGCTATCATGTGCTACAAAAGGGCAGTGGCAAAACCGTAATATTTTGGAGTTCTGATGTCAATCTTGAAAACCGCAGAGGGACAAAATCCAATCTGGCAAATTCCCATTTCCGCAAACGGTCAAAACCAAATCACGTTTAACGAAAGCTGACGAATCCGCCATTTCTGATGTTCTCCGCGGGCAAATCCGTCATTTCCCGTGTGCTATAAGTACTACGCAGTTCGCTTTCCAACACTCCTCCCACTGTGTACAAAACCCAAAGAACACCGACCGACCCTTCTTCTCCTACTCAGCTCAACTTTTCTCCGGGCAACCGTCGCCGCGTCTACGTCTCCGGAAGTCCGTACGGCGCCGTTTGATCGCCGCCGATTGTCGGAGAGAGTCTCCGCGCCGTTTCAAAGTTTCTTCTCGATGGAGATTACCATGTTTCTGACCGTTTGGGAATAGGGAAGGTGTGGTTAACCGCCCGCCCGCGATTATCGTGGTCGGTGAGTAACGGCGGTGTTTGGTCAAACCGTACGGTTAAACGGCGCGTTTGGTTCAATCGCCGAGAAAAGGGAGGGAGTTTTGAAACGGGGTTTGATTAAACGCCGTCGGTTAGAGAGATGTTATTACTGGTTTAGCCTCTCAACGCAGAGTTATCGGCGCGGGAGGGAGTGGAGACTAGAGAGGGGAAGGAACGGGGAGTCGTACTATGGGGCGGTTGGCGGCGGGGTTGGCAGTGGGATGTGCAGTGGCGGCGTGTGTGGTGGCGACAGTGATGGTGGGGAGACGGGTACGGAGGAGGAAGAAGTGGCGGAAGGTGTTGCGGGTTCTGGAGGAGCTGGAGGAGGCCTGCGCCACCCCTGTTGGGCGGCTCCGGCAAGTTGTCGACGCTATGGCCGTCGAAATGCACGCCGGCCTAGCCTCTGAAGGCGGGAGCAAGCTCAAGATGTTGCTCACATATGTCGATAAACTCCCCAATGGGTACATACTTGTGCATTTAATTGCACGCATTCACATTAACGTAATTGAAGCTGTGACTGTTTAATTTGTGTTCATTTTTAGTGTCCGAAACTGATCGTGTTCTTCATTGCTGGGAGTGTAGGATACTTTTCGTAAAAGCCAAAAGATATGAAATGTCTCAATTGGAATGGGGAATGGGAATTGAATGACTGCGTATTTAATGTTGGGTGATTTTTGCGTGTGTTTTTTTTTGTTGTTGTCATTTTCGTTGGTGTTTCTATGCGGTTTCTGCATGTTTCTATAGACCCTTTAATTTTCTTACCCAGTCAGCTTAGCTGGTTTTGAGATCCACGTTTTGAGATTAAGTTTTGTGCTTGATTCTGAAGGATTTGTTTTTTACATTTTTATCACTTTTGTACCATGTACTGTTTTTTTCTCAAGACCCAGTCACTCTTTTATTGCATCTGATTCACTTTGTCTTTCTAAGTTGCTAGAATTTGACTCTCATTGTTCATTCTCTCCCCTCTTTGAAAGGTTTATTTCTTATTTATTTTTGTGGGGCTGTGGTTGTCCTGTTCTTTTTTCTGCCATTTTAATTTTATGCAGTAAATTTTGTTTGACTTTGTCTTTTGTTTAGTCTTCTTGCACATGGAATATTTTATTGTTCTGGGTGTAATTCTTTTTAATTTTAGACGGTTTTAATGTTACTTAGATTCTGCTTTGTGCTTCATTTTGGAGTCAGCTTATTGGTGGCCAGTATTTGGAAATGCATTTTGGAGTCAGCCTCTAGTAAATGCCTAGGTTTACAAGTGCAACCACCCCCATTAAGGTGGTTTCTGATTAATGAACTTGGGTTCTAGAAGAATCATGAGTTGAAGCAGTCATATCTGATTTTTATTTTTCTTGGTTGATTAAAATAATAAAATTCTTGTGCTAACTACATAAGATTGCATTGTATTTTGTTCTATCATGTGTTGGATATTTGACATTGAAGACTGATTCTCCTTCTTTGTTATATATGGCAAGGGACTTACCTTTCCCCTTTTTATATTAAATTATCGACACGATTGATATCGGAAAACAAATCAATGGTTGAAGAGTATGAGTAGTTGAAGCTTTTGGAGCTATGTTGCCAATTAATCAATTATTCTTGATTCTATTAGTTTGACTTTAAACTTACTGAACTGCTTACTGCTGCAGTTGGTAATAAATTTGTCATTTTACTTCACTTTAGCTTGTCTACCTATGTTCAAAAGTATTAACTAGACATGCTCCAATATCAATTGCCCCTAGTAAGGGGGTAACATGGGGCTTCTAATTATGATTAAAAAAAAAAACAATAGTTGAGAAAATATGCGTAGTGTCATTTCAATGCATGATATCTTATTTACTGTAGGATCTTTTTTATTTGGTTTTGCTTGTTTTTGTTGCTCAGGAAATTGATTTTATGAGTTTGCATGCAGTAGTGAGGAGGGAACATTTTATGCTCTAGATCTTGGAGGTACCAACTTTCGGGTTTTGCGGGTTCAATTAGGTGGTCAAAGGTCTGCTACTATCAGACACGATGTACAGCAGCAGCCAATTCCTCAACACTTATTGACTGGCACCAGCGAGGTGGCTGACTTTGTTGTCTATATTATTTCTTAACTTCTAAATTAACATGTAGGTTTTGTTGATGTAGAGTTTGCAATTGATAGTGCCCATCTTTCTATTTTGTTTTGTTATGCAGGATCTCTTCGATTTTATTGCATCATCGCTGAAGGATTTCATTGAAAGGGATAGTAGTGACTCAGAACACTCACAAGGCAGAAGTCTTGGCTTCACATTTTCTTTTCCTGTCAAACAAACTTCTGTCTCATCTGGCATCTTGATCAAGTGGACACAAGGATTCGAAATTGAAGACATGGTTAGTTTGACAATAGTTCTTTACTGAAATCGATCATCATTTATTTAGCTAGCTAGCTTTCCTTGTCAGTGCATAGCATGATACATTTTGGTTTTCCTATGCACGAATTTAGCCCGCCCGGATTATGTTGATAAAAGAAATTGACTAATTTTTTGAATACTACTGGCTCTATTACATTGTAGTATCTGTTCAAATATACTTTTTCAAACCTAATGAAACACAAAGAGTCAATAACGCTTCCACTGAGGCTCAATCTCATGACCTCCCACATGGGAGAAGTCACTAATGCCATTTGAGCACAAAGTGCTTGGCAGAAATTGACTAATTTAGTTTGTGAGGTTAACAATTTTCCCAATGCATACATTTTTTGCATGCTACTTTCTTGCTTTTCAGGCCTGAATTTTGCCTTGTTTGTTTTGAAGAAAAATATGATTATTTGAATTCACAAGGCTTAACAGATTGGATTGTTGGCTAGAAAAGCTTCTAACCTAATCTTGGCCTTGTTAGGTTTAATCAAGTGATAGGATATCCTCAAGAGCAGTGCCTGGTATAATGTCAAATTAGTGATAGGTAAAAACACCAATTAATGCCTTGTATTACAAGATACATAAATGTTTGTGCAATGCCTAATGCATGCTTACATAAATCCATACATATATATTGTATGTACATTTTAACTAAAATTTTCAATTATTAATTTATTTTAGCACTGGATTATTATCAAATTTCTTGTGCACTCGTTTGAAAATTATATAATTTATTTAAGTAAATTTATTAATTGCAGTTATATTTTGAGCAATCAGATAAATGTTAAATAACACAAACAGGACACTCTGTTATATGTTAAATATACTTTTGATTTTATGTATGATAAATGATTTAATAATTTTAATCATTATTCATTTATGGATTGATACCTTAAAACTGTTCATTCATTAAAATTTGAGAGCACTCAATAAAGAGTGAAACTAGCAGTAAGCTCAAATTATTTCATGACTAACTAGTGAACAAATAGAAGGGAGTCATGACAAGTTAACATTTGAAACAAATACCCTAATTATGATTATCTACTAGCAACTATAACTAATATATATGTATAATTCAATATTATTAGCAAGTATGGTGAATCACAAGTTCACAACAAATTAAAATTTGAAACCAATGTCCTAATTATCAACTAGTGACTAATAAATATGTGTAGTTTCAAAATTGTTAATACTTCTGGTTTAATAATTTATTATTTTTTACATCATAACATTTAAAATCAATTGTGGATATATTTATTGATGAAAATAATAAGTGAATCATTAATTTGGCCTTAAATGAGTGTGTTCAACACTTCAACTAAATATCCTCCAAAATTAGTGTTTCTAATGTATGTTCACTGCAATTTCGTGTAATGTCCAGATGGTTTATTATTTATTGTCTCCGTCTTGGATGACATGTCAATAATATTTTCTTTGTGAATTTCTGTATTACATATTTAAATGTGGGGCAGGTGGATGATGAAGGCATCAGACGGGCAAACCTGCCTGTTCTTTTTTGCCACACATTGAACAGAATTTCCATACAAGCAGCATTTTCTAGAAAGGATTGGTTATTAAAATTTATCTTTTTATCAGGTTGGAAGAAATGTTTCTGAGTGCCTACAAGCAGCATTTTCTAGAAAGGGCCTAGATATTCGGGTAGCAGCATTGGTAAGAATTTACAGTGTAACAATTATTTGTTATCTACTGTGATGATATTCTATAGAATATTTTTTGCACAGGTTATGAGTATTAAATTCATAATTCAGATTCTTCTCTACTGCCTTTGTTGAAATGTAACATTGTGTCCTTGTAGAACTATTTGCCAATTTTATGCAAACTTCCTTGCCATGTTTCAAATAAATCTTATGCACTATAATGTAGTATTTGGAGTCATTTTTTTTTTTTTTTAAATTATTATTCTTCCTGCATGATGCATTCTAGACTGACATTTTATACTCTTGCACAATGGTGTTATATGTTATATTCACTGTTTTCCACCTTCTTTGAAACTTTAAAACCTCCTTGACACACACACACACACACACACACACACTAGTTTTTTATATGCGCAATGAGCAAAAATATATGCCCAATATTAATACTCAATGTTAATTATATTTAAATATTTTTAAAAAATAATAGTATATTATTATTTTTTTAAAAAATTTATAGTTGTAGAATTCATATATTATATTAAATGTATAATTGATAATTTGAGTAATAATTATGGTATGATTAATATTATCAAAGTAAGAATTTTAGACATGATAAACTACTAAATATAATTATGGTAACATTTAATTAAAATTTAAATTAAATCAAGCTTATTTCTTATATTACTCCAATATATAATGTTAACCCACATTATTACCATATTGAAAAATATAATAAACGATATTGTGTATGGATGTGCATGGTAATAATAATGGAAAAATATTACAGAGGTTATAACGGTAGAGATATTTTTGTCCAAGAAATTGTATAGTACAACTCTTATAACATAATATATAAAAACATTAACAGAAAAAATGGACATAAATTAGAGATGTAACTTGGATTGGAACTTATTTTATATATATATATATATATATATATATATATATATATATATATATATATATATATATTTTCAGGTGAAAACATGCGGACTTCTTCAATAATGCACGGTAAGTTCTACATGAATGCACAATAACTATTCCAGTTCCGTGACTCCTATATGAATGCACCGTGCATTCGTGTAGTAATTACCGTGCATTTTTGTGTAGTAGATGCACATGTAGTACTCACGCAGCTCGAGTAGTTATTGTGCATTTTTGAAGAACTTACCGTGCATTACTGAATAAGTTCGCATGTTCTCACGCTAAGAGATGTTCTCACCTGAATGAGATCCTACACACACACACACACACACACACACACACACACACACATATATATATATATAGCTTTCACCTCCTTTACTGAAAAATTTATTTTTGATAATCTTGTGAGCTTACTGTTCTTATGATGTAGTTTCCTTTCAAGAGTACAGCTAAAATGATTTAAATATTCTAATGTTTCTGTCATCATTTTCTAGTCTATTTGCTGATACATTTTACTATACCAACGATGAAATGCTCTTTTTAATTAATAGAAAGTTTTCTTTTATAGATTTTATTCAAAATTGGTGTCTATTAGGAATTTGGATATGTGACAATTTTAGATAGAACTCTTATCCTGACCATTTTACTACTTATTTAGAATTATGAATTTAGTTTTCAGCTGTTTTTGCTTTTTGTCATGAACAGATAAATGATACAGTGGCAACACTGGCTCTTGGACATTATAATGATGAAGACACCGTTGCAGCTGTTATATTTGGGACAGGTACTAATGCGTGTTATGTGGAGCGTGCAGATGCTATTATAAAATGCCAAGGCCTTTTAACAACTTCAGGAAGCATGGTATTCCTCTCATCTTTCTTGTTGTTCTTCTGAACATGATAAGATTATGGAGAACTGTTCTTTACATGCATCTCTATGTTTCCTGCTAATTAGGTAGTCAATATGGAATGGGGAAACTTCTGGTCATCTCATTTACCACGAACATCATATGACAGTGACTTGGATGCTGATAGCCCAAATCCTAATGATCAGGTAGAATTTGGTATTTTTTTTAAAGGTTTTCCTCAGGGAGCTTTCTGCTGATCGCCTGCTTCATCTTGTTTTGTAGGGATTCGAGAAAATGATTTCAGGGATGTATTTGGGGGACATAGTAAGAAGAGTTCTTCTAAGAATGTCACAGGAGTTTGATGTTTTCGGACCTGTGTCTTCCAAATTAGCAATGCCATTTCTGCTGAGGTAAAATCCAGTTCTATATTATTTTCAACCTGTAGTGTATTATTCTCTCCCCACCTCACTCTATTCACATGGTCATATATATTGATAAGATATTGGACCCTTGCCCCTCCCCCAGTCACTCAACCACATACAAACACAAAAAGAAAATAATACCCCTCCCCCAATCATCAACCACACACAAACACAAAAAGAAAAACCACAAACCCTTTTTCAAGTTCAAGTGCATTAGTTACCAAGAGTACGTGTAATTTCAGCTTGGTATCTACTATTGGCCTGTGAGATGCCTTTCCTTGTGAAGCCATACATGACGTAGGGGTAATTAGTAAAATGAAGGTAACGTTACCATACATGACATAGGGGTAATTAGCAAAATGAAGGTCATGTTATGTGGATTAGGGCAATCATTATTGTGTGGACCATATTTTGTATACTGTAGAGTAATGTACATTCAGTACAAAAATAATGTACATCCAGTACAAAAATAATGTACATTGTATTCAGGGGATGTACATTATTTTGTACTGAGTGTACATTATATTGTATAATGTACATATAGTACAAAAATAATGTACATTTAGTATATTAAAAATGTACTTTTTGTTATGGTCCACACAATAATTTGAGGGGATTTTTCCCATACTAAGAATGACCCTTTCAACTTTTGCATATTTATAACATACGTGTAATTTGTAGTGGGTTCTTTTCCACTGTTTTGTTAATTCTGATGTTACTGCAACAGTGTATCTTTAGGCAAGGGTGGGGATCTTTTAATGTTCATTACAACATATACTAGCTGTTGTATCCTCCTTTTTAATATTCTCTACTCTGTTGCCTCAATTTTATATTTCTTCCACTTGTAATTTCAGGACACCCCTCATGGCTGCTATGCACGATGATGATTCACCTGAATTGAGTGAAGTAGCAAGAGTTCTCGGAGAAATACTGGAGGTAGAATCATTCTGTGTTTGCATTTAAGATTGCAATATGTATATGCATCACAGTTAGTGTACATTTAGCTTATGTTGCTTACCTTTTAATTTTGGTATTCCATCTTTTAGTTACCCGATGTCCCTCTTAAACTTCGGAAGCTAGTAGTGGAAGTGTGCGATGTGGTAACTCGACGAGCTGCTAGGTTAGCTGCAGCAGGTATCGTGGGAATATTAAAGAAGATCGGGAGGGATGGAACTGGCGGCATTGCCAGTGGGAAATTGAGAAGTGGTAGTAGCTCAAGCAGGATGAAAAGAACGGTGGTGGCCATCGAAGGCGGGTTGTATACAAGCTACACCTCTTTCAGAGAGTACTTGAATGAAGCAGTGGCAGAGATATTAGGGGAAGAAGTTTCGTCCCACGTTACCATTACAGTAACCGAAGATGGATCGGGGATCGGAGCAGCTCTTCTTGCTGCTGCAGTGCATTCGGCTTCCACGACAGTACAGTTGCTATGAATATATAAGATACATAATTTATACATAGCTCTGTAAATTGTAGAAGTCATTTATCCATGGAAAAAATATATATATGTAAAAGGGGAATGCTGTGTATAAGTGTCAAGTTTGATTGATAGTTTTTAGGGTATTATATTTGTGGGGTTCTCTTTCATGATGCTTGTTGGCTGGCTGGCTGGCTGGCTCGATTCAAATTTTGAAGCAATGGTGTTCTTATCATCTAAAGCAGTGTAAAATGTAACCAAAGGTCAATGCAAGTATTTATTTATTTGTTTATTGTTGTTTTTTGAGTTAATTCCAGAAATGATCCTTCCAGTATCGCTGCTTTCTCTCTTCCTTCAGGCGACAATGGCTCCAGTTGCTTCCCCTAGAGTTCTGGCGACTCGCTCAAACAACTTTATGCATCATATAACCTGAACTGCTCAAACAACTTTATGCATTGCATGATGCATCAAGACCCAATTGCTCACAGTATTCTTTCGCAACATGCATATATAACAAACTAATTATAAGTTAAAAGTGGACTATTGATTTTGTTCCAAATTTGATCCATCAGGGACATATTAACTACAAAATTGGACTGAACATAGATTTGAAGAAAAATAATCCTTCGGATATCAGTGTCTGTTCATATACTTAGAATTTTTAGAAATGGAAATTACTGCATGTTTATAATTTTTTTAAAATAAAAAAATAGATTTGTGTAGAAATAACGACCTAACTTAAATATGCTAAATCAGTAAAATTTAATTTTTACCTTGGAGCGGTTTGAAAGAGTAGAACTCGCGGTACCCGGATTTAATCCCGAAGATCTCGCGAACGCGTCGTACATCTCCCACAGCCCCACCACCAGCTCCCGGATCACAGTGTTCAAAAGTTGTGGGTCCTGTTGGATAGTTGCTGCATGTGTGAACCGATTACATTGAAGGAGATGACTGATCGGTTAAAGAACGGAATTGCGAGAAAACCAGATCGAGACCGAAGGAGAAAGGGTTACTCGAGACCGGGAATATATTTGTGGTGAACTTTCTAGAAACGTTTGATAGAGTATAGATAGAAATCACCGAGTTAATGGTTAGACATGGGAATGGCAAAAACGAGATTTAGGTAAATGAAATTGGTTGAAGGAGATATGTAATCTATGTTTGGTGAAGTTTCCAGAAAGGTAGAGAGATAAGAGAAACGACACAGCGAGATTTGAGCTTAGCTGCAAGAATGTCTGACCAGTTTAGGTTTTTAGGTGTTTTGTTTGTGGGCTTGCGTTTTGATTTGGGCTTATGTATTTGTGGATTTCATTCTATTTGAATATAAAATTGGGTTGCTTATTTTTTATTGTTTAAACAATTGGGGTGCCTATTAGTTATGTGTATATATATCCTAACTATAATCAAGCTAAATAGATTTTGGTAAAATTACTAGGGTGTTGGTTCCTCGAATGGCTATGACACCATTAGATCCAAGATTGCCATTCAAGTTTAAGAGAAGACAATTTTCATTAATGCTTGCTTTCATATGCAATGATTATAAATAAAAGTCAAAGACAAACGTTATCTCATTTTGAATTGCTATTCAGCCAGTTTTTGTACACTGGCAGTTATATGTAGCCACATCTAAAGTGAGAAATCAAGATTTTGATATGTAATGAGTTAGGCAATAGTGATTATTCAACCACTAATGTAGTTTACAAAGAGGTCTTTAATAATATGTAATTTAAAATAATTTCTCATTTTATAACACTAACGCTTATTACTTAGTATGTTTAAATCCCAAATTTAAAATCCTACAAAAATTGTAATATCCATATAAAAAAATAATTATCTTACAATAAACAAACATAAATTTAATAATGCTAACATTTTGATCCGTGCATCGCACGGGTATCATACTAGCATAATCAGGTGCGTTTGTTGCTTCCCGTCCGGATGTGCGGTGAATTAATGTGTGTGAGGTTTATACTTAATGTGCGTGAGATTTGTACTCAATGTGCCTGAGATTTGTACTTAATGTGCGTCATGTTAATATGCGTGAGTTTTGTACTTAATGTGCCTGAGTATTGTGTTTAATGTGCGTGAGATTTGTGCTTAATGTGCGTGCGTATTTCAGAATTACGAGCTCAGAAGGAAGCAGAACAGAAACTCACGCACATTAACGCCCAAACTTCTTGTTACTTCTTCCTTCAATTTGGCCATGGATTCTGGATTATCAGCTACCTTCAGTGCAGTTGAATGTTTATATAAATGACGCACGCACAGTAAAATTTGCACAGCAGCTAAGTGTGGATTTTTGTTGTATTATTCCCATAATTTTTAACCACCATAGCCCGCCTCCGCATCATCATCATCAGGGAGGGGGCAAATGGCTACTGGGGATGGGGAAGAAGTTGACATCAATATTTTCTGCTGCATTTTACACATTCACGCACATTAAGTACAAATCTCAGGCACATTAAGCACAACACTCACGCACATTGAGTACAAATCTCACGCACATTAATCCACCGCACATCTGCACTGGAAGCATTCACCGCACGGAAACCTTTCACTATATATATATATATATATATATATATATATATATATATATATATATATATATATATATATATATAATATTTGCTGCAAAAGTGTTATTGTTTATTTTGTTTTTTTTTTTTAATCACAGTAGTGTTATTGTAATCTGTATAAGTTATTGTAAGTTTTAAATTAAATTTGCAGTTATGGCTCGATTGCATTTAATAACTCGTACTGAAAGAAGGAAAAGATGTGTAGCTGTGTTGCGTGTATGGTTGGATATGTGTGCTTATGTGAGTTTATTGTTTATAATAATGATGATGTCAACCTTGACAATTTTTTGTTCTAATAAAAAACGAGTGGAATCTTATATTATTAATACTTTAGGGGCTCGAGAATATATGTTACGAAAAATGCATATCTCAACTTAGGATGAATCGACATGCTTTTGTGAAGTTGTGTGCAATGTTATAAACTATAGGAGGGTTAAGGCCAACAAGAAATATGCTTGTTGATGAGCAAGTAGCAATAATTTTACATATTATTGCTCATCACGTAAAAAATAGGATCATTCAAAATAATTTTCAAAGGCCGGGGGAAACTATTAGTCGATACTTTAATATAGTATTAAATGCTGTTTTGAAACTCCGAAATCATTTATTCAAAGATCCTGAACCAGTTCCAGCTACCTCTACAGATCATAGATGGAAATGGTTTAAGGTAGTTAAACATATCCCCTACACTGGAGTTATAAGTTTAATTACAATGTGAATATATATATATATATATATATATATATATATATATATATAAAATTGACGGTAAAAACGTTACCGGTAATAATATTAGAATAACAAATGATGTGATGAAGTAACAATAGACGTAACAATAGTTGTATTGCCTTTTGTCTCAGTATAGAAAGTACAGTGTGTCCTCTACTAGATGAGGAGAGCCCTATTTATACTTAGAGTCCTAACGGTAACAACGTGGGACATAAGTGGGAGCCTAGCCTTTAATTCTCTCTCATCAATGGGGGCTTCAATGCTGGCTTCAATGGTAGTAACAACGGCACCTGTTGGAATTCCTGACCGTTGGAGTTCTGCCCGTTGGGTTCCCATGTGATGTTGAGTCAATGCCCATATGCTGAGTCAAGGCCCATTTGTGATCCGGGTCGGGTGCCAGCCCAATTATCCTGTCACCAGTCCCCATACTCCTGAGTCAACGGATGTGTTTGAGTTGACTTGGAGTCAAGCTGAATTTCTTTTGATCTTGTGCAGGATCCTGCTTGATTTAGGATTTTTTATTTGATCCTCTGTAGAATTCTTTTGATTTGGTTTGTTTTCCAAATCCCTAACTTGCCTTCCAAATCCCTGATTTGTGCTTTCTCAATCCTTTCCTGCTTCACTTAACTTTTTTATCTCAACCTCCTCTCCAATATAAACCCCTGTCTCTCTGAGCAGTTTGAGAGCACTTCTTCAACAACTTCTGCCACAGCTCTGTAAGTCTCCGCTGTTATTATTATTTTGTAATTTATTTTACAACGTATTTATGCATGTATTTTATTTATTTATTTTTTTTGATCGGGGCCGAGGCGCTGCCTCAGCCTGTGGCCGAGGCGTCGCCTCAGCCCCTTGGCCGAGGCGTGTGCCTCGGCCTTTTTTTTTTTTTTTTTTTTTTTTTTTTTTGACACGCTCTTTTCCTGACAGGCAGTTTTTGTACCCAAGTCATCCGTAACCGAGGTGAGTTTAGTGTCTTTGGCTTCATAATGGATGTCACTCCCTTGATTGATGTTGAACTTGATTTTGATGAGGAATATGATGATTCCCCTCTGTTCGAAAATTTTCCCCCTCTTCCATTTGCTGCTGACTCGCCTACACCTAAGCCCCAAATGAAAAAGAAGAAAAAACGCAAGGCCTCCTATTCTGTTCTTGATAAGTCCCTTGTCTTGTCCATACAGCCTCAATTAGGGGAACGGGATTTGGATGATATTAGACGCCTCCTTAGTCTTGACGTTCTGACTCTCCCTCCTGAGCCTCGGGGTAATATCACCGACCCACCCACGGATAAGTATTTTGGGGTCCACCTTCTATCGCTACAGGTTGGGCTGCGGTTTCCCCTCCATAGGTTTGTGGTAGATTTTATGAACCACTATGAGATAGTCCCCGGCCAGCTAGTTCCCAATGGTCACCAGGTAATTGCGGGCTTTCTTGCTATATGTAAGGACAAAGGGATAGAGCCCACGCTAGATCTTTTCCAGGCTCTGTTCATAGTTGGTAGGGCTTCTCAGGAGGGTAAAGGATTCGTCCAGATTTCGAGCAGGCCACGTTTCAAACTCTTTGAGGACCGTCCTACTTATAACAAGGATTGGAAACCCAAATATGTCTTTGTCACTCTTGTGAGTCGTCCGTTTCCGTTTCGTGTCACGTGGGGATCCCATTTACGTTGCCCTCCTACTCTTGACATGAGTCCCTCCCTCCGCCGAGATGTAGATGATTTACTGGGGGATGGTCTCTTATCGATCGTTGATTATACTACCGAGTGGAAGCTCGCGGGCTTAGGCTTCGTGAGGACTCATCCGGCTGTTTTTTTGCCCACGGGTACTCTTCAGTTACCACTCAGTATTTTATTCGTCAACCACTAACTCTAACTTGTCTCCTTTTTATTGCAGGTACCATGTCTTCATCTTCGAGGACTAGCCGATACTTGTCGCGGCCGGATCCCCCCCCTAAGAAGAGCAAGGTGGAGAGAGGAAAGAAGAGTCAAGCCGAGGC